TAGACTCGTATAGACTTATTCTCTTCGCTCTTCTTTGTGTCATCATCAACATGATGGTTAGCACAACAATTTATATTCATATCTAAAGATCGAAAGTCCAAGATGAATCAAAATTCGAGAAAGAATTAAAAAGCTATGAATTCGATTCAAATCCAATAATCCCTAACACTTGTCCAAGGTTCCTCTAATTTGATAAGTCTTTGAGAAAATTCCTCTGACATATATACCCGTAAACTAATGTAGTATGCAGACATGAATCCATATCGACATATCATTATAAGCAAAAGAAATCAAATCGACTTGGACTCTGTGACTCCCTCCATTGGTTTTGGTCAATGATTAAAACAAAATTCACTTATTCAAATTTCTATCTTATTTTGTTAAATATGATTATCTCTTAAAACCAAAAAATYCATTGTTTGGAGTGAAAGGTTGTGTCCGGCAGAAAAATAAGGAAGCAAGTAACTAATTACAATCGCAGCCCTTCGTTTTCTTCTTTTAAAAAAATTATTGGATACGTGTCAAAAAAGTAAAAATCCGCGTATGCTATAAATTATTCCCACCCAATTTGCTAAGTTTTTGATAATTTTGTTCTTCATCTATAAATTTCACCCTAAATAAAAATTTAAAGAATACTTGTAGGAGTTCTTAACATTTATCCTACAAATTTAAAGAATACTTTTTATTTCTTTACGCCATCTTCAAAATCACCGAGATGGCGAGATCTCCAAACTCTGTCGAGGACTCAACTGCATCTTCTAGTTTTTGCAAATGATTAAAACAAAATTTGTTTGTTCTATTTTTTCTCCTTATTATGCTATATATAGGCAATACATTTTAAAACCCATAATAAGAGTTGCATCGGTTGATGTGAAACATTGTGTCCCTAATTATAAATCACAACCGTTCGCAATTGTTGTAACAGTAAACGAAGGACACGTGTCATCACATAAAAAACCGAACTCAAGTTTTATAATATATATAATTAGAATGTTAATAGTGGTTGTATTTGTTTTTTTTATTACTGCTATTAAATTTGGTGAATAAAAGACGAGATAGAATCTCGTAATACGGATCGTCATACTCATATATAGATACGATTGTTCGATTTTATTCCAAGTTTTTGACATACTTTTTTTTTTTTTGCTAAAAGGTAAATATTTCATTCAATGAAAATGTTCTTAACTTACAATCGATGACTATAAGCTAATGATCATACATCCACGGCAAAAAAGAATTAAAAACATGGATACATAGTTTCAACCGGTTTTCAGTCCTTCGCGTCAACAAAGCCAAAGGCATTTAGAATACGACGAAGTGATGACGATATTAAAATGTTCTTCCCAAGTCCACATCTCGCGAAGCGTAAGCAGAGAGAAGCGAGAGAGATGACGCAAACCACGAATCAGTATAAGCATTTCACATGAGGCCCAAAAACTGAATCGTCAACGGCAACGACCTCACAGTTCTCGATCACTTGCACCAACTGTTTTTGACATACTTGTACACAAAGCTTTAGAGATTTTTGTATGATATCTAATGTAGTTTTCACATTTCATAGGAGGAAATATACTATTTTGTGAAATGGTTAAGACCGGCGAAAAAACATCAAACCGACAAATAATCAAGATAGTACAAATACTAGTCAAACATGGATACTCAAACATCGGTTGATTAAATTTGTCAAGTAAAACCATTGACTAATAATAACATTGACCAAAGTTGACCAGTTAGATGAACATACTTTGATAAAGTTAAATATTTGGTGGTAAGTTCAATCGTAAGATATAACCTCTTTTTTGTCAACAAGATATGACCTCTTTTAAAAATCTACACTTGCATATTATAGAAGAAATTAAGTTTTTGATAACTGAAGAATGATGATA